TTGCCCAATTTTGGATAGTTTAATCCTAAGAATGTACTGCTTAATGTTAACTTAAGGAGACCCCGTGTAGATTTTTCTTTGTTAACTCCCTTTTCTCTGGTCCTCTTCCCCACCAGTTCTAGTCACCTCAGTTTCTCCAAACTTTGATCTGTCTTCTCAGTTTAGCATAATTACTGTATTTTGCTTGGGATCCCCTTGCTTATGATCTGGAAAATGTATCCAAACAGGAACTTCATGTCAATTATATGTCTCACTTTTCTCAGAAAGTTGCTATCTGATGTTCAATATTTAAAGGCATTTGTTCCAAATATTTTGTGCAGTTTTCTGTATTTTTTCCCTCTGTGGAAAGGCAAGCCTAGTATAGTTATGCCATTGCAATTTGAAACAGAAGTCCTTTTTCTATACATGATTGTATTTCATCAATTCTGTAATGTTTAATCATTGTTATATCATTATTGCAATGGCTTCAACTATCAGGAATAAAATAGGAAAAAACAAAGTGATTCTTGTAAGCATGCAACCCCAAGGTGGTAAAAGTTGCACAGATGTAATAGGGTATAACCTGTCAAATATGCATGAGCACCATTCAGAGTATTATGATATCAGCCGTAAGTTTTTCAGAAGTAAATGCTTCTTGATTAATGGAACTGATAATGCAGTGTGGTTAGGGGAGTTTCTGTTACACCAGATGACACTGAAGGTCTGTAGATTTTCTTTTTTAGAACTTCAGGTTTTTGAGAAGCCAGCTCATAAATTACCTTTTCCAGGAGGCTTTTCCTGACCCTTTCTCTGTCCTTACATGTTCCTTTATCAGTTTTTTTGTTTTCCCTATTGACTAAGTACTTCTTGAGGACAGCGACTATCTTATTCATATTCATCTTAGCAAACAGTGTAGCCTTTGGCAGCACTTGAATGATGAATTGAATGAATGCTGTCTCTTTGCTTTATGCATAAATAGCTTGGGCCTCCACTTTACCTGCCCATCATCTTTTAGCTACACAAGACTCTTCAAAGGGAAATAAAGCAATAAAATGATCCTGTATATAACTTGGTCAGGGTTGCAAGGAAATTTGAGGTAAGGTCAAAAGGTCGGTTTTGGACCAGGCTGGACAAAAGTTTAAGTCACTGAGGTAGTTTCTTGTTGCTTTTGGAAACACTTATATTTAGGTCTTTTAAAAATATATATTTTTTTAGCCTTTAAAAAATCAATAATTGGGTTGGCCGAGTGGCACGTTGGTTAAGAGCTGGCTTGGGACGCCAGCTCTGAGCAGCAGGGCCCCGGTTTGGATCCCACATGAGGGCCAGTGACACTGCACACTCCACAGATAAGATGGTGAACAACAGCTCGACCTGGAGCTGGGCTGCCATGAGTCATCAGCAATGGCGTAGGCTGCAGCCCCTGCTGCAGTGGGCTGCCATAAGCTAACCTGTGTGGCCGGCAGCCAGCGTGAGCAGCCAGCAGCTGGTGTGAGCTGCCAACAGCCACAGTGAGCGGCCGTCCAGAGGCCGGCAACCGATCTACCTCACCCAGGAAGAGTGCAATGATAATACCAACATGGGCCAGTGAAGTAACGTCCTCCACAACTAGACCGAAGAACAAAAGGACAGCAACTTGTCTGTTCCCCTTTCCCCGAATCCCCAGCGCTGTTCCCCTCCCCCAATTCCCCAATAAAATCTTTTTTTAAAAAATCTATTATTATTCTTGCTTAAAAATTTAAATAATTTTTTGCTTTTGTTAGTATTTAGAAAATATTATTTGCAAGTAAATGAAATAAAAACTATTGATTTAAATCTTCTCTGGTCACATGAATGGAATACATTAAGAATTTTGTCATATTGCAGTATCTTAATCCCAGTGTATTTTCTACCACCCCTTTTTCTGGTTAACATATGAAGTCTGACAATTAAGTTTGTGAATTCATCCTAGAAAAAGTGCTACATACTTCATTGCTGGATATCACTATGGTCACCTTCGAAGTACTCCCGTTGGGAAGCTATGCACCGATGCCAGTGCCTAGTCCACCCTTCAAAACAATTTTGGAGCTCTTTTTCTGGAATGCCCATCAGAGCTGTCGTCATATTACCTTTGATGTCATGAATGTCCTCAAAATGTCTTCCTTTCAATATTTCCTTTATGTTTGGGTAAGGAAAGAAGTCATTGGGGGTCAGATCAGGTGACTAGGGAGGGTATTCCAATACAGTTATTTGTTTACTGGCTAAAAACTCCCTCACAATCAGTGCCATGTGAGCTGGTGCATTGTTGTGATGCAAGAGCCATGAATTGTTGGTGAAAAGTTCAGGTCATCTAACTTTTTCACGCAGCCTTTTCAGCACTTCCAAATAGTAAACTTGGTTAACTTTTTTTGGTCCAGTGGGTACAAATTCATAATGAATAATCCCTCTGATATAAAAAAAAAATGGTTAGCAACATCATTGCAACAAGTTCACAAACTTAATTGTCAGACCTCGTGGATGAGGATTTCCATCTTTTTAATCAGCAACAGACACATTGCATGCTTTCTCTGTGTAAGGCATTGGGTTGGGAACTCTGGATACTTAAAAGAAAAGAATACAGTGTCCAGTCTCTTCTTAATGACCTTATCTATTAGGTTGAACCATATGACATTACTGATATTTGACAATTTTGATTTTTAAAAACAATGATGTCATTTGAGTTAACCCAATAGTTAAAGAGCAAGATGGATTCTGAGAAAATATAAATGTCCATACAGAGCATTTAAATTACATGTTATGATTCAGTCACTAAATGGTATAGGAATTTGAAGAAATAGAGTCATTACCTTGGATGAGGAAGTTTGGAAAATCCTCATAGAATAGATTGTCAGTTTCGATCTCTTATCACCCAAAGGGGCTTTTACCGAACATTCAGGTTTTTTATTGCTTTTGAAAACTAAATGAAACTGGAAATCCCATCAGATCAGTTGTCTTCATGTTGAATATTTTTTCATGTACAGATTTTTATTTGTATACTTGTTTTTTATTCTTTTGGTCCCACATTTCTTCTTTCAATGGATTTTTTATTGCGGTTAAAAAATAACCAAAAAAAATCCATAAAATTTACCATCCTGACCATTTTTAAGTGTACAATTCAGTAGTGTTTAGCATATCCACATTGTTCTCAAACAGATCTCCAGAGCTTTTTCATCTTGCAAAACTGAAGCTCTGTTTACCTGTTACACAAAAATTCCTCTACTCCCTTCCCTGCAGCCCCTGGCTACCACCCTTCTACTTTCTGTCTCTCTGAAATAGACTATGTTAGATACCCCACATAAATGGAAGCTTACAGTATTTGTCTTTTTGTGACTGGTTCATTTCACTTTACATAACGTCCTCAAGGTTCATCCCTGTTGTAGCATGTGACAGGATTTGCTTCCCTGTTTTGTATTTTTTAGTCTCCATAAAAATTTTTTTTCCATTAAAAAAAAAAGTTGTACATAATTAATGCATACAACTTGATGAGTTGGAGATAAGTATATACCTTTGAACTAGTACCACAATCTATGCCATAAACCTCCCCCACCACTTCCAAAATTTTTCTTCTGCTCTCTTATTTATTATTATTAGTACAGCATTTTTTGTGATAAAACATTTAACATAAGGTCTATCATCTTAGTAAATTTTTAAGTATACGATACAGTATTGTTAACTATAGGCACTATGCTGCACAGTAGATTTCTAGGACTTATTTATCTCGTATAACTGAAACTTTGTACCCTTTGACTAATACCTGTCCCCCATTTCTCCCTCCTCGGAGTCCTGGAAACCACCATTGCACTCTCTGCCTCTATGAGTTTGACTGTTTTAGAGTCATCGTATGAGTGGTATAATGTAGTATTTGTCCTTCTCTGTCTGGCTTATTTCACTTAGCATAATGTCCTCTAGTTTAATCTAGGTTATTGCAAATTGCAGGATTTTCTTCTTTTTTAATGCTGAATAATATCCCATTGTATATACATACCACATTTTCTCTATCTATTTGTCCACTGATAGCCATGTATTAGCTACTGTGAATAATGCTGCAGTGAACATGGGAATATAGATATCACTTTTGAGATCCTGATTTCAATTACTTTGGATATATACCCAATAGTGACATTGCTGAGTCATATGGTACTTCCGTTAGTTTTTTGAGGATCCTCCATTCTGTTTCCTATATTAATTTACATTCCCACCTACAGTGTACCAGGAATCCCTTTTCTCCACATTTTCACTTGCTATCTGTTTTTTTATGAAAGCTATCCTACCAAGTGTGAGGTAATAATACCTTGTTGCAGTTTTGATTTGTAGTTCCCTGATGATTATTGGTGTTGAACACTTCTTCATATATATGTTGGCCGTCTGTGTATCTTCTTTGGAGAAATCTCTATTTGTTTCCTTTGCCCAAGGAAATGTTTAAATTGGGTTATTGGTATTTTTGCTATTGTGTTGTTAAGAATTCCTTATATTTTTTTAATATTAACTCTTCACTAAACATACAGTTTGCAAATATTTTCTCCCATTCCATACATTGCCTTTTTATTTTGTTGATTGAAACCTTTGCTGTGCTGAAGCTTTTTAGTTTCACATAATCCTGCTTGTCTGTTTTTGCTTTTGTTGCCTGTGCTTTTGGTGTCATATCCTTTACTTTTAAGGCTGAATGGTATTTTGTGTATATACCACATTTTCTTTATCCATTCATCTGTCAATGGACATTAGGATTGCTTCCATGTTTTAGCTATATTGTGAATCATGCTGCTGTTAACATGAGTGTGCCAAATCTCCTTATTACTCTGCTTTCAATTCTTTGGGATAAATAATCAGAATTGAGATTGCCAGATCATATGGTAGTTCTAGTTTTAATTTTTTGAGGAATATCTTCATGTAGAATTTTTCACAAATCTCATTGCTGTTGCTCCTGCTAAGCTGTATCTGAAAATCTTTATTTGGTTAATATGATGGACCTTTGTGATTAATATAGATTTCTTTTTTTGTATATCCAGAGCCCTTGCAGAATCTCCACCATCTGTAAACAACCTAAAGAGTGAACTTGGTGATAAAGGGAAGAATAAAGATGAAGGGGAAGTTGGTAACCTTGAAAAAAAGGCTGCAAGTGATTGTCTTGAACCTTGTCCAGAAGAGAAAAAGAAGAAACGTTCTGGATTCAGAGACAGAAAAGTATGGAACACAGTTTTATAAGTTAATCAAAGATTGGAATAATTCAGTCAAGTCTCTGTTGTGATGTGTTTCACGTGGTTCATATTCACTTTGTAGTTGTTCACCTCTTCACTATTTTCCATCATGTTCTAAGGCAAACGTACTCTTGGAATGTGGCATTAATGGGGGTAGTGGAAAAGATCTCAAGTTGGTAATCAGGAGTAGCGTATATTTTCTGAATTCTTTCAATTCAACTTTTTAAGGTGATTCTTGCTTTCCAGATCTTTCTGATGTTCAGTGTTCTCATATATGTTAATTGAGTCTTTGTGGTATTATTGATTTATGATGCCAAGCTGTAAAAGCAGAATAAATCTCTTTGGAAATATACAAATATTTCCAGAAAATAAACTGATTTTGAGGACCTTCAAATGATTTCAACATTCTATGTACCGTTAACAAAACCTGCTGTTTATACAGCTCTACCTCAGAAAAGTTTCAGTTCCGCTATAATAATGCCTGTGATATTGGGCATTTGAATTCAGCAGACACGAGTGATGAAGTCAAAAGGTAAATTTGTTAGATATTTTGCATGTTAACATTAAAATTCAGGTAATTGCCTTCATTTGCTAAAATATAGCTAATCAATGCAAGAAGATAATTTGAGTTATTTCTGTGTTGTGTGTTTGTGGTATATATTTGCAAGAAAAGTTTCTTTGAGAAATTTGGATCTTCTGTTTGTCTGTTTAGGTGAAGTTATTCAATATGTTTTTCACTTCCCAAATCCATTTCTTATTGAGGCAAATTTGAACAAAAGGTATATATCACAAGTTAATTGTCAGCTATCCCAGCATTTCCATGATATATTTATTTAATCTTTTTCCCTGAATGAATTCAGGGAAAGTTCAAATTTATCTTGCTCCAGCAGTTTCACTTAGTCAAACTTTTACAAAGTAGAGCTAAAATGACCCAAATAAACATTTATTCTTGAACCTTCTATTTTCTACTCCCACTAGAAAGATATGCTCAGCAAATGACTATATCTCTTACTTCACAGAAAAAAATGAAGGCTATCTGTGTAAATAGTTTGTAAGTCTCATAGCAATAAAACCTTTCTAATCTGTTTGAAATAATTCTTATTTCTTTCACTAAAGTCTCAGTGGAAGAGCTGTTTTTCCTGCTCAAGGGTAACCATTCCATATTTTATCCTGTCTCCCCAAGAACCTATTTCAACACTTATTCTTTCTCTGTACTGTTTTTTCGTTACTCTGTCTATTCATTCTTTTATATAGTCTACATAGGCATGTTAAAAATTGTTTTATCTTTAATTAAATAATAAACTGCATTATTGATCATGTATTGTTTTCTAGCTACTGTCTCATTTACATTCTTTCCCTGTGATACCAAACTGCTTCAGTCTCTACATGCTGTTTTTGGCATCTTCACTTTTCATTTTATACTTTTTGCTTTTGTTCTTTTATGTTCTCTTGATTTTCATATACTATTTCAAATATCCAAGAAAAAAATATTATATGAAACTAAATATTCAGTTTCATATTATAAAACTGAAAATCTACACCCATTAAATAATAACTCCCTACTACCTCCTTCCCCCTGCCCCTGGCAACCACCATTTTACTTTCTGTCTCTATGATTTTGAATACTAAAAGAACCTCAGACAAATGGAATCATACAGTATTTGCATTTTTGCAACTGGCTTGTTGGGCTTAGTATAATGTTCTCAAGGTTCATCATGTGGTAGCATCTGTCTGAATTTCCTTCCTTTTTAGGGATGAATAATATTCTGTTGTATGTGTATACCACATATTACTCCTCTGTTCATCCATTGATGGATACTTGAGTTGCTTTCACATTTTAGCTGTTGTCAATAATGCTGCTGTGAACATACGTATACAAATATTTGAGACCCTACTTCTCATTCTTTTCATTTGCATTTCTGTAATGATCAGTAATGTTGAACATCTTTTCATGTGCTTATTGGTCATTTGTATATCATCTTTGGAGAAATGTCTATTCACATTTATTGCCCATTTTTTAACTTGGTTCTTGTTTCTTTCTCTTTTTTTTATTGTTAAGGTTAGGAGTTCTCTAGATAATCTGGTTGTTAATTCCTTGTCAGATATATGATTTGTAATATTTCCCCTCATTCTGTTGGTTGCCTTTTTACTCTGTTCATTTTATTTTTTTTTAAGGTTTTATTGGGGAATTGGGGGAGAGGAACAGTGTTGGGGAATCGGGGAAGGGGAGCAGACAAGTTGCTGTCCTTTTGTTCTTCAGTCTAGTTGTGGCGGACACCGCTTCACTGGCCCATGTTGGTATTGTGATCATTGCGCTCTTCCCAGCTGAGGCAGTTGGTCACCGACCATTGAACGGCCACTC